CAGTGGGCCTGGAGGTATATCAAATCTTATCTTGGTGGCCCAGAGCCCCATGGTATGGCTGCCAGCCTGGCAGGGAGACAACAAAGAGTTTGTAAGTATTGCACGTCCCAGGCACTGTTTGTGACACATGGACATTGAGAGCGGCCGGAACTCAGCTGGCAGTGGCTATCCCGTGCAGTGTCTGGAAAGCCCACCCTGCAGACCCCTCCCTCCTTTCCCTCGGTCCCTGTGGGGCCACCAAGGAGTTGACTTCGCCTGTGTTCCAAGCTGTAACCTTGAGAAGGGGACACTGTGACTTGGAAGACACACGAATCCATTTTTTAAGCAACAACAAAACCAGAACCTTCTGAAGCCATCGGAGCCTCGCTTGACCCCTCCCCTTGCGCACTGTGCCATATCCAAGAACAACTGCCCCCTGCACCTGCCGGACCCTGCGGTCCACATGCATGTCTAACTCCATGTAAATAGCCGCATGGCAATGCCCAGAGGCCCCTGGACCCACAGTCCCACACCCATCCTACAGACCTAGTGGAGTCTGCCCATTTGGTTTTTCTGTCCCCACCTGCTCTGCCTCCCTTGCCTTGAGGGGAATCCTCCTGGGGAGCTACTTGCAGCTGGTCCTGGGGGATGCTGGAGCTGCTGTTGCCCCAGGGCCCGTGGGCTGTGCCTCCCTCTGCAGTGCCAGCCTCGGGCTCGGTGCTCCACCCAGCCTGCTGTCCAGTGTCCTGTGGCTCCCGTGTCCCGTGTGTTTGTGTGTGGTGTGGTACCCTTCTCCCACTGTCTGAATTAACTGAAAAGCCATAAAGGGGGTCTCCTGCTGGAGCCTGCTCCAGCTCCACCCAGGACCCCCATGTCCCTCTGGCTCCCACTGAATATTTGTGAAGGGCTCCCCTGTTGTCACCCCCTCCTGCTCCCTCAGACCTATGTCATGATGGTGATGGTGTTGGGGCTTCTGGTGGTGCCCTGGGGAATGGCTGCACCTGTAGACTGTTGTAGAGAGGAAGTACTGCGGATGCCACAATCCTAGAGCCTTCCATGGGGATGCCCAAGGAGCCACCGGGATTTCCAGGGGGCAGCCAGCCAGCAGCTTAGCCTGCAGCCCAGCTTCCGTTCCCCACAGGGCCGGCAGTACAAGCCCTGCTTGCTCCTGGTCAATGTGGGGAAGGCTCAGGGGGTGAGCCCTGGGCAATGCAGAGAGCTCAGTGCTGGCCCCACAGGGAGCACCCCCAGATTAGGGTAGAGCAGAACTCCTAGAGCTGGTTGGCCCAGGCCTGCCAGGGCTCCTTTGAGTGGTGGCATGAGGCGTGGCTTTAGGAGACTGAGCGGGATAGGAGTGTACCCAGACAAGTGTACCAGGGTGCAGAGAGGTGGGCAGAGGGGAACTGGAGCTCCCAAGGAGCTCTGGCACCATGTTAGAGAGGGACAGGCCGCGCCCTGGCTGCACAGGGCAACCATGTGGGAAGAAGGCACATTGGCAGGAGAGAGAGAAAAGAGGATTAGGCAGGGGTGTGAGACAAGGGGTGAGTGGGCTCTGCCACTTACAGACCACCACTTCTAAGCACCCAGGAGAACCAGGGCGTGCTGGGGAGGGCAGAGAGGACCAGTTCTGGCCTCCGCTAAGCTCTCCCCGGGCCTCTCTGGCTTTCACACCCATGGCAAAGGCCAAAAGTGAGTGGAGCATGGCCGGCAGCTGGCCAGGCGGCTGTGCGGCTGACCCTTCTGTCCAGCCTCCTTGGTGCCCAGCAGAGTTTGGCCCTTGTCACCGAAGCCCGTCCGTGTTGCCCTGCCCGCTGCCTATCTGAGGACTTGATGTGCTTCCTACGGATACCCTGGGGGCCTGGACACTTCAGGGCCAGTCAGGCGGAGTGTCCCTGGTCTCCAGGGAAGGACGCCTGTGGAGCCCCGGCCTCCCCTCCCCCTCTGCTTGGCACTGCTCTCCAAAACCTTCTGTGGACTCTGTTGTTCTCGTCTGACCTCCTGTCAAACTGTTATTTTGTAATGAGCTGCGTCTCCTTATTAAATAAATAAGCTGAAACAAATCTGGGGGAGGGTGGACGCTGAGTTGTTTGCTGGGTGCTGGGTATGTGGGGTGTAGGGTCAGCATGTGGGTGAGGGCTGGGGTCCATTCTCTTTAGCCTGGCACTCCATGATGTGTGTGGAGCTCGTGGCACCTCCTGGTGGCCAACGTGCCAGTGCCCATTGCTCCATGGGAGGGGGGCAGCGCTGCAGGAAGCTTCTTCCAGGGCTCGGGTGGCTTCACATGTGTTTCCATCCAACAGGGCTGGGTTCAGAGCACAGGCTAGTGTGAGCCAGGGTTGGGAGTTGGACAAGAAAAATCTACAGTCGAGAGTCTGGCAGCACTGCCTGTAAGGCCAGGAAGGGTTAAAGCCCTAGGTTCCCCTGGCCCACCTTCAAGATAGGGGTCCACACATGCCAGCAGGGCCTGGGTCTTTTCCCATCTGTCCCGAGGCTGAGCTGGAGGCCTGGTGTCCACCGGCTGGTCCTGTGAACGCAGACCTCACTGCATCCAGCAAGGGGATTCAGGGAAGTGGTGCCGGCCCCTTGCACCAGACAGGCCTGAACTCTTCAACTGTGACTTCATGTGTGTTTGTTCTGCTGCTGCTCAGGCTCCCGACAGCTGGTGACAGCAGGGGAAAAGAATCTTCCCTCCGACCTCCCGACAAAGCAGTGACCAGGGATTTCCGCTTGGCTGGGGACACAGGGCCAGCAGAGCTTGCTGATGGGTAAACCAGACCCCAGCCTCCCTGCTGAGATCACACACCCCCAAGGCGTGCCAGTGGGCCCAGGCAGCTCGTCCCTGGGTTCGGCTCTGCGGTCTGTTTGCATTTCGCCTCCTGTGATCCAGAATCTCCTGAATCAAACACGACCTTCTGGTGAAGACACGTGCACGGCAGAGGTGAAGGGTCAGTCCTGGGGAGGTGCACGTGCACAAGATGATCCCTGCTCTGGACCCCAACGCCCCTGGGGCCCGCAGGGTGCGAGCGCATGTGGCTGGGCTCAGCACCAGCTGGTTCAGCCCATATTCCTGGTCACTTGGAGCTGGCTGCCGGGACTTGAAGGATTCTTTAGAACGCAGTCCCCCTGGTTGGGGGGTGCCCTGGTGCTCCTGGCGCCCATCCCTTCGGTCAGGGCAGACCACAAGCATCTCCAGGTGCTCAGGAGTTGTAGCAGCTGGTGGGGAGGCCTCTCTGGCATCGCAGAGACCGGGTGAAAGTGCAAGAGGTTGCCTAGATTGGAGATTCTGTAAGCCCCATTTCCTGAACTGTGGAGACGTGAGCTCAAAGTTAAAACACAATTTTATTTACTCATTTATAAATACTGTTGTGTTTACAAGCATCATATAGGTGTGAATATCATTATTCCCAAACTTTCAAACACAGAATACTTAATACTATATAATAACAACCAGTAAAACAAAGTCATTCATCTCGGGGTTGAAAGGCCACTCAAAATTTCATAAAAATACATTCAGTTCACAAAGCGAGTCTGGCTCCCCGTCCCTACCCAGGTGTATTTACAGTGGACTCAAGTTCATCCGTACAACGCCGCTGAAGAACAGTTACATCCGGCACTTCCCCTGTGCGGGAGGAACAAGCGTGGCAGGGCTGGGGGGTGGAGTGAGGACAGGCGTAGCACACTGCCGCCCAAGTGGGAGAGGCGTGGAGACGCCAGTGGAGTTTATAAGGTCAGGGCAGAGGCCAGCATGGAGGGAGGAAACCCACTGTGCTAGAGCCTGAGGCTGAGCCTTCCCATGAGGGTAGGTGCACCGGCAAGGGCCGGTTGTGGGAGCCATGGCCTAGCCCCAGGGCTGGCAGGAGGCAGGCCTGACCTCTCAAGGGCTCAGAGACTGCCCTGAACGGGATCTTGGGACTGTCCCCTCCCGCAGACCCCTCCCCTGCAGCCTGCAACCAAGTGTCCTGTTTCTTCCACTCCCTCTGTACCTGGCCATTGTTTACTAGCAGACAAGCTGGAATCTTCTAGATTGCTGCCGAGTAGGCAAGAATAAGCCAGGCCAGATGCTGAGGCAAGAGTGGAACAGACCCCAGCTATGGGGGAACGTTAGGGGTTCTGTTGAGCCCCCCTCCTCTGCTCACCTCTGCTGAACTCTGTCTCCCACAGACCAGGAGTGGGTGAGCTGCAACTGCAAGAGCACTGATGCACTAAGACACACTTCTGCTGTGAAAGCTGACAAGAGCCATTCCTCTCAGGACAGTGTCCTAGGCTCTCCCTGGCCAGGCTAGAGGAGTCCTGGAGGCCTCCCAGCCCAACCTCACCCTAAAGGGGCTGGGAGCGCAGCCCTGGGGTTGGGGTGTGGGAGAGAGGGTGGGTGAAGCTCAGTCAGGCCTCTCGGCTGGCTCCTGTTTGTTTTGGAAGTACATAAGAGCATCCTGATGTCACCTCCACAGGGCCACCCAAGTAACATTTGACTGGAAGCTTTAGAGGAGAAACAAAAGAAAATATCACTCTGGCAGCTCCCTGTCTATGGTGTCAGAGCACTGGGGAGGCGCTCAGAGAGCCATCCCCAGAGGGAGAAGGCAGGTGGGAAGCACAGAATGACGCATGGGGACAAAGCTGGCCTCTGAGTTCCCACCGTCACCAAGAACATGCCAGCCCCGGGGCCGACACTGCGGTGCCAGGGATGAAGCCGCTGCCTGAGGCGCTGGCTGCCCAGGTTTAAGAATACCGGTTCAGGTTCCGGCTACTCTGCTTCTGAGTCAGTAGATGGTGACCCCAGAGGCCCCTGCCACTCATGTGAGACCCAGACAAAGTTCCTGGCTCCTGGCTTCGGCCTGGCTTAACCCTTCATGTTGCAACCATTTGAAGAATAAACTAGTGGATGGAAGATCACTCTCTTACTTTCTCTCACTCTGCCTTTTAAATAAATGAATAAATAAATAAATAAATAACTCTGAAAACAGAGCATGCCAGACAGTTGGAAAGCTCTGGGCTAGCAGATGGGTGTGTGCACATGCACAGACACATAGGCTAGAGGCACGAATAACCCGCCAACTGCTAACTTCTTCGGCCAAATCAGAACATGCATCAGCAATGCTATTTTCAGACACACCCACATCTCACCAGCTCTCCCCAAGGAGGGTCTTGGGGACCTGGCTGTAAGCCCTCCACCACCAATCTTGGAGGAGAGGTGAACACGCCTTTTCTTGGTATGCCACAGGGATCACCGTGTTTCCTAGCAGCTGGAACAGTGTCAGCTCCTGGGCTGCCAGGAATTTGATCTACTTCCCATCCAATCAGGACGCAGGCGGTCAACAGTTGTCCCTGACAGGGTCTACTGTTCCCAAACAGTGTCAATACCCTTCAGGGCAGCTCATTTAAACCTCCACTCAGCCAAGTCACCAGTGGCACAACACTCATTTCCACTGCCCACATTTGCCTCTGGGAGACCCCTCCCTGCCAGGGTTTGTAGTCTCCACTCTGCTCTGCACTCAAAGCCTACATGTCTGCCTTCCTCTCATCACAGGACACAGCCCAGAGCCTCCACCCCTTTGCACTGCTCCCAAGGGGGCTTTTGACACAGTGGACTGTGGTTGGCAAATGCCTGCTGCTTTGGCAGCCTCCTCTGCACACCTGCTTTTTAACCGAAGACTGCAACAGCACCAGAGCCCTCGAGTCCAGAGGAGCTGCTCAGCGGAATTAATGAGTGAGGTTTTTACTGAGGGAAATTCTCCTGCTGCTGGCAGGGAGTTCAAGACTGTGGGCCTGCTGGTGCTAAGTAGAAATGCAATTAGTCTACTGCTTGGGTGTTAGGGGCCACGGTAGATCCCATTAGAGAATGCAGAGGGCTCTATTTCCTATTAAAACCATTTGTCCGAAGGCTGCCTGCAACAAGCTGTTTCCCATACACTTCCCTGTGAGCTCCACTGCCACCTCCACAGGTTTGAATATTCTTACTAAACCATTAGAAGGGAAGGCAGTCACACTCAGTTACCCGCAGTATGAAATTCACTTGCCAACAAGGATGAGAAGCCAACCTTGACATGCTGAGGTGAAACAGTTTGAATCCATATGAAAACAGGAATTATTAACTCTTGTATTTTTTAGTTTAGAAAAGAATTTTGAAGCAGGAATTCCAAGTTCAAGAGATGAACAGATCTTCCCTAGGAACGAGTAAGTCACAGAATTTTAGACCAAAGGTGACTTGAGAGATGCTCTTGCCCAGGGTCACACAGCCATGAGCAGGCCTCACCTGTCCTCAGAGCGCCTTATCAATGGGTCAGAGGGACGCACCGTGTTTGAGGGGTGAGCCTGGGCCCCGCTTTCCCTCCTGTAACTACTCTGACTGTAGTTATAACTGGCCTGAGCAGGGCCGCAGGTGCCTCTCCTCTTGGGCTGTAGGAGGACCTGGGGTCCCGCAGGGTGGCCCCAGCAGGAAGCTGCAGGGCAGCCTGTGCACTCTGCAGCAGAACTGGGGAACAACCCCAGGCTCTCCCGCCTGAGGAGCAGAGCAGGCCAACAGCTATGTAGCTAGTGGCATTTTCGCTAGCCTGCTCTTCTATAGCTCCGTCAGGACAGGCTCCTGCCCGCGGGGTTAGGGCTGAGACACTGGCTTTCTCTGACTGTGTCCAGTCTTTGCAGCCAGGAGAGGCTGCGAAGGCACCAGAAATGCAGAGGTTGAACAAATGCCCAGCCCTGAGAGTCTCTTCTTCCCTCATCTCTAGCTTAAACAAATGTCCCTGGTGGAGAAACAGCCAGTAGTGGGTGCTGCGCTGGGGCACTGGGCCATGACGTGGGGTTGTAGTCACCTTCTTTCTGAGCACTCACTGTCCAGTCAGCACACATTTTGTTTGGCGCAGGGGAGAGCGGGAAAAATGCTGCCACAGACGTGCTGCCTCGCCAGCGACTGCATCCAGGTCTCTCTAAACACAGGGTGGGGCAGGGACAGAAACTTGGGGAGGGCCAGAAAAGCACCAGACACCCACAGTAGGATAGAGCAAGACAGGAACTGTCAGATGAACCTGGCCCAGGAGAGCCAGGGCATGGTTGCGCCGTCAACTGCTGAGCTCAGGCCCTCCCGCTAGGGCTGGGGCAGAGCTGGGGCCAGCATTCTCCGGTGCTCTCTGGAATGGCCAAATTGCTATTCCCAAAGGAGTGGTCCGGATATTGAAAAATACCAAGTTCATGAGGACAGAGGGTGTGAAGCTCTGCTGAGTACGAGCATCCCCATTCCCACAGACCACACAAGACCAAGTGACAGACTGCAGCCCCACACGTGTGGGCCACGCCTGTGCTACCCCGCCAGCTGGAGCTTTCTGGGGCACCCAGGAGTATTCAAACTAGCAGCCGATGATGGGGGGCTGGGGCTGTGGCCACTGACAAGACCAATAGCAGATGACTGGCCAAGCAGCTCAGATGCCAAAGCCAGAGCACAGCTGGCAGCAACAAGCTCTGTATCCACTGCCTTCCGGGCCTTCCAGTCACTGTGTCCGGGGAGAAACGGCATTTTTCTCTCTGGACAAAGATGAGAACTCAGAGTTTATCCATTGCATAAGAAAAAGTGCATGAAATGACCTAGGATGCATTTTGTTTTCATCAGTTCCTGCCTATAGAATATAGCACTCCTGAGATTAAAAAGCTTGCAAATCTTGTCACAAGAAAAACTTGGAATAAGCATGAAGCAGCAGTGGTGTTAACACTGGCCTAAGAGTTTTCAGAACCTTCCTCTGGTATCTGGAAGGCACACACAGACCTGAGGGAACTTTCTAACTTCATTTCTGGGACTGTGGACTGGGGGAGGGTTCCAATGTTTCCCTAATATCTTTTACTTTTTCCTGAGAGAGAAGTTGCTATCCTTTCTTCCCCTGTATCCAAGACGTGCTGGAATCCACTAGGAAACTCCTGTGGTCGTTTCCTCTTCCTCTTCCTAGAATGAAGAAAATGCTGAGTGGGAGGGTTGAGCCTTCCATGAAGACCAAGCGTATGGTGCTCCCATGAAACCCAATGTTCCAAGGCTAAGAGTAGCTTTTCTTAGAAAACAGGTGGAGATGGAAGTGAGAATTTTGCATGCTGTAAACATGGGGCTTTGTCAGAGCTCCTATTCTGAAATTGGGATTTTGAACTACAGCTTTGGGCTTTAACTGCACGTAACGTTTCCAAGGCTGTGGGGTGTGTGTGGGGAATTGCAATGCTACTCTCAGGTAAGCAGTAAACAAGCGGAGGTAGTATATGTTGAGAGACTAGGTCACTCTAAGCACCAAAGATCACTGGCAACCCTAAAAGATGAGGACTTAAATGGCCTGCACACTGACTATGATTCAAGGGATACAACTCTTAGAAAAGGCAAAGATGTTACATATTAATAACGGACCATCATCAAGAATGAATGGATTCATTTTGTGCTGAACTGATGGTGTATTCTGTCCAGCTCTGGGCATATTCTAAAAGGGGAGCTTGGCCAAGATGTGACAGGCATGACAGTGTGGCCATGCTGTGAGGGCCGGGACAATGAAGAGCTCCCAAGGGCAGATCCAGACAACAGAAAGAACCACAGGCAGACTTCTGCTCCCGTTAGGAGAAACCAGTGGTTTGAGTTGCTCAACCTTATGGTAATTGGTGCCCAGACCCCAGCAGCTGACTGACCACAGGGGTCCCTGGTACACAACAATAGAAAATCGAACCAAAGGCTTCTGGGCCTCTCCACTCTAAAATGCCATGATCCTCATCCCTGGGTTGAAACTATTCCATTTCTAGGAAGCTGTCACTGTTCCTCTTGGCTTCCAAGGAAGCAAACACCTCTTTCCTAAATCCAATCACTAGAAGTAATAAAATTCACAACCATTCTCAGCCCAGCATAAGCTGTCTTCTTTGTCACAATGTTCCTAGTGCCATCAGCTACCCTACTTTCACAGGCTTATCTTCCCGGCCCACTCCACTCTAGTCCACCTGCGGCAGTGCACCCTCCCTGCCCTTCGTGCCTCTTTGCAGTGACTTCATTTATCACTCGGGGAAGCTGCCAGAGTGAATGGGGAAAGAAGGCCAAAGGGAGGCAAGGCGGAAGTGAGGACTGACAGTCCAGGTTTCTTATAAATAAAATAATTTTGTTGGGGGAAATGAGAACAGTGGGCTGACACTTGGGCTGTGGTCTGGGATTTGGGGGACAGGGGCTGGTGGTGCCACCAAGACACCAGTATGGTGATCTTCTAGTCTCCACCTTAACGCTTTCCTGTAACAGCTCCAAACAACTGAGGTCCGGTGCTGTGTTTTGGCTTCTCCACCAGGGGGTCAGGGGAAGGGAGCAGAGGCAGAAGAAAGAGTAACAGGAAAGAAAAGAAAGGAAGTGGCGAAGGGGTTAAGACTGGCTTGGGATATTACTTGGTTGTAGACAGAAAAAAATCAGCCAGTTCCTGAGAGGTGAGGAATAGAGCCTCAATGCAGAGCCACCATGACCTTGGACTCAGCACACACAGCCTGAGGGCGCATCCTGTTGTGTCTCCTTGTGCCCCAGACAGCATCCTGGCCTGGCCACCACAGGACTCACCTGCATCAGAGGCCGCTGGGTTGTGGAGAAGCCCTAAGTGTTTGGACCAAATCCAGTGTGAACCACAACGGCTGAGCAGCAAGAAGCTGGGGGTCCACAGCTGGCTGGAGGTCCTCCCCCAAGGCCTTCTCCAGATGGCTCACATGATCACAAACATGCTTCAATTCAAACTCATACAACTGCAAGTGAGGGCGTGGGAGGAGCAGGGCATTCTGAGTGCAGAGAATGTACAGTGCAGAGGAGGTGACCCAAGCAGGTCCTTCCACCAAAACATTCACTTCCTTTGGTTGGAAGGCGATGGCTGGAAGTGAGGGGCCTGGGCCGCCAAGGCAATCCCGTCTTTCTGTAGCTGGGCCCGTGTCTATTTCGACAGTTTGCTGATGACTCTAATGAGGGCACCGTTTTCGTCTTTCAGCCTCTGGTTGTCGGATTTCAGTTCTGTTAACACCTGCAGGGGGCGCAGGGAAAGGTGTGTTAGAGCCTGGTAGGCCAGTCTCCTCTCCCCGCCCTGACCAGGCCAGGCCAGCCCTGGGAGCCTGTGTCACAACTGTCCTCGCCCTCCTCCCGGTGATGATGACAGAGACCCCGAATCTCCATACTTACCGAGTCTGTTTACATTTAGGGAACTTTACCACCTCATCTTTTGATCTGGTGTACTTGGCAGGAACATCCTATTTCTTGGTATGTGAGCTCCACACTGTACTCTGTGTACCTTTTCATTTTATTGAATCAGTAACTATTTTTAATGGTTCCTGTCTTTGGACTCACCTCTAGTCCAGAGAAATTGGGAAGGTGGCCAAAGATGGCTGGTGAAGACGTGGGAAAGAATTCAGGGACAGAGAGAGGGTAGAGTCAAACACAGGAGTCAAAGGAGGACACTGAATCACGTCCCATCAAAAAAGGAATGCCAGCCTGGGGTGCAGAACTCAGCTGCCCTGCCCTGTGCCTGGATGACTGAAGGGTCCTTCTCCTGATTATTTCTTCAGTGGAAATAATCCACCCAAATTATCCCTGGGCATATGACACATATCCACTTTCAACCACCAAACCAAGGACCTTGCACACAGGGTCACTGCGCTGCGAAGCACAAGGAACACTTGACTTATTTAATTCTTCCCAAAGCTCCCTGACAAGCTTTCTCAGCAGTTCTGGGGGATGGTGTTATAATGCTAGGAAACAGAAGCTTACAGGGGAAATGGAAGGAGTGGAAATTCAATTCTATCAGTTCTGTCATCTTGGAACACACAGTGTTGTCCAACTTGTTAAGCAAGGGAAAAACAATACCTTCAAGATCTAGCCTGGACATTTGTTTTTTTATTATGTGATCAGGTAATCAGGAAAAATCCCAATGACATGTTGATAAGGGTACAGTTTATGTGTGGGCCTGCTGGTAGCAAGAGAGGTTTAGGTTAGTGGGTAGGTTAATTTTTACCAGGAAGACTACAGAAATCTGTGTCTGATCAATACGGATGTCCTTTGATTGACTGGCCATATAAACCCACAGGAGCCTTGTAGCAGGCAAGGCCTCCAAAAAAGAGTGGTCTGGACTTAGAGGTTACAATGGTTTGGCACTGGCTCTGGCTAAGTGTACCTTAAGGAATATGATTTTTGTTTCCTCAATCTCTCAAGGAAGAGGCATGCTATATTATGCAAGTATACATGTGTGCTTGCATCAGATATGCAAATAATTTGTATCAAAGGAAGATATTACAGATTATAAAACATGGAAGGTACCATGCCCAAGGGTCTCACTGTGACCTATGAGTCTGTATGGCATGGTTGCTATCCTTAGTAATCCAAATGAGGCAAAGCATAATTTTATAACTGGTCCAAGGCACCCAGCTATTGAATGGCAACTCTAACACTGAGCCCAGGCGTGCCCAAGTCCACAGTTCATTTGCATGATAAGTGAGGTGGCGTGGGGTGGGAAATGAAATGAGAAATTAAATTCTAGGATTGCCCTTGTGATCAATGACCTGTATTAATTTATGCAAATTGCTCAACTTCTCTGTGTACTTATTTCTGCAGCTAGTAAAGAACACCAGCCCCCCAGAGCTGTTGCCTCTCAAGGCAGAGACCAGGTGTGGCCCGTGGGAGGAGTCTGACCTGGGCACTGTGCTTTCCTCCTCCCACCGCTGAAAGGCAAGCCAGAGAGCCGCACACGTGCCGCAGGGAGCTCGGATCCGAGAGCATCTTGACCAAGCTCTAGGGCTTTGACCTGGTCTCTCCTATCTCCACCTCACTCATGGCACTCTGGCTGTGTGCTTGCATGCCTCCAGCCTGCCAGCCTTGCCAACCGGAAGCGAGGCTTATAGATGCATTTCCTGAGATTATCAGGAAAGGCCAGCTGAGGTGGCATCCTGATGCCTCACTTTGCCATCTGCTTTCTGATGTCCCGTGCTGGGTATCAGTGTATCTTGGAGAGCCACATCCCCATAATAGGAATCCACAGGTGGGAAGAAGCTACATCAGGCAAAGGGTTACATTTCACTGCTCTGCAGCTCATCAAATCATAGCTGGGCTGCGTTTCCCTATAAATGTACAAGTAATCTATTGAGCTTTGGTGATTCATTTCCACATTGAGAACTCAATTTCTTGGTTAAAAAAAAAAAAAACAACAACTGGAAGGCAATTTTGCAGCTGCAACAAGCTACTACAGACATCTGCAGGGAGTGTCACAAGAGCAAGAAATGGCATGTAGAAACCAAGGCGGGGAAGCCTCATAGACCTCTCTTTCAAAAGACAGAGGAGGAAATGAATGACGTGATCTGACGTATCTTTGGAGTGAAAGGAGGGTTAAATAAGAACATATGTGAAAGCATGACACAGGTATGAGGTTTGACAGAGTTTCATCATTTCCACTCTCTGCATTTCAGCTTCTAAATTTCCAATGCATCCACAGTTTAATGTCAGGTTACTTTAGATACATAACAGTAACTCTGCCTTTCAAATAAATCAACAAATCTTAAAAGAAAGAAAAAGAAGATGAGGCCATTGGGACCATTCAGCCACTTTGCTTCCAGCCACCGTGGGAGTGTGGAGGGCACTTCCTCATGCTTGGTTACTAAGGGGCTTGCACTACAGGTTGAGATAAAATGGCATCTCCAAGGGACTGTTAAGAGAAAAAAGGCTGGGCAAAATCTCTTAACCATGGGCCAGTTTGGCTTAGTTATCTCATCTTTCCTTCTGGCAGGGGTCAGCAAGCTTTTCCTGTACAGGGTCAGCCAATACACATCTTGCGGTTCACAGGCTACAGTCTCCATGGGGAGTACTGCATTTGGCCATCATGGCACAAAGGCACCCTGAGACATAATGACAGCAGGCAGTAGATTAACATGGCTCATTTGCATAAAGCTTTACTTTCAGATGATGCTGACATTAGAAATCCCTATCATTTTCCTGTACTTTCAGACACTCCTCTGATTTCTGTTTGACTACGTATAGGGCTCACAGCTGAACTGGTGGGCCACAGTCTGCTGACCCAGGCTACGGGAGATCGAGCACTGGCAATGGGAAAACTTGGGATGGTTAAGTGGCTCTCTGCAAGATGACCTTGGCCAAGGAGGTCCGAGCACAGAGAAGCTTCCTCCACCTCAGCTGCAATGTGGGGAGTGCCCTGTAGCTGCTCAGTAGAGCCACCTCTATGTGTAACAGATGGCTGGCCCTGGGTGCCAAACGTGTGGATAGCTTACGTCGTCACAGCAGGAAAGATCTTGGACTCTGGAGACAGACATATTGGTTTTGGTTTTAGCACTTAATTGGCTGGGTAATCTTGGGCAAGTTCCTTAACCTGTGACTCAGTTTTAATGGCCATTCTAGGAAACGCATGAGAAACCTTAACATACAGCACTCACTTAGCATAGCCTTTAATGAATGACAGCTGTTATCACGATTAGTAAGATCTAATTTTGTCTCCTATCTTATACTGTCTTGCAACAAACAAGGCAACTAGAAATAATTGGGACTTCTGGGAGGGTCTCTCGTTCATCCATGTCGAATTTTCCAGGCATCTTGGTGCTCATCTGAAAGTGTAGGCTTGGCCGGACCAGGGGCTGCTCGCAGCCAGGCTGTGGCGGCACTTCCCTTTCAATTTGCTTTCTGCCTGTGGCAGCATCTGCAGCTGGGTATTAGCTCAGGCCTATGGTAATTTGGATGCTTCAGTTCTAGTGGATATTGGTTGTCAGCTACTGACCCTCAAGGCAAAAGCAAATAGACAGGCAGACAAGAACAGGCCCTGGTCAGGCCTAATTAGATTGCTGCTGAAAATTAAAAACTCGTTTCAGAACAGTGTTGACCCCATCACACTACCATGGGACAGAGAGCAAGTTGTCTGTGAGCCAGGAAAATTGGCAAACAATTTCTTTCTTTCTTTCTTTCTTTCTTTCTTTCTTTCTTTCTTTCTTTCTTTCTTTCTTTCTTTCTTTCTTTCTTTCTTTCTTTCTTTCTTTCTTTCTTTCTTTCTCTCTTTCTCTCTTTCTCTCTTTCTCTCTTTCTCTCTTTCTCTCTCTCTCTCTCTCTCTCTCTCTCTCTTTCTCTCTTTCTCTCTTTCTCTCTTTCTCTCTTTCTCTCTTTCTCTCTTTCTCTCTTTCTTTCTTTCTTTCTTTCTTTTGGGGGAGGGAGTTTCCGTTGAAAATAAACCTGCTCCCTGCTCCACAGCCACCATCTCCTCTGCAAAGCTAGACCTGTTAGGGAAGGCCTGGTCACGTAAGGAGGTCATTTATACAGGCTGCAGGCTGCCTCGCAGCCCACGCACACAGAGGCAGGGGAGGGACACATGCCTTGAGTCCAGAGACTTGTGACAGGGATGTGAGAAATGCCTCCCCAGCAGGGAAGAGGCTACAAGGCTTGCAGAAGGAGACAAAATGCTTATCTAATTCTGTTCCAAGTTGGGATGGAGACTGTTTTTCGCTAGAAAGCCTGGACCAGAATACCTCCAATCTCTAGTTCCAGTCCTTTCTAATAATATTGTCAAATACAGGGACTGAGGTCTTCCTGGAGTCCAAAGGTCTATGGTTCCCAATTCTGGCTATGCCAAAAGAACCAAAAAGAGGGTTTTGAAAAAAAAAATGCTGATGCCTGGATCTCAAACCAGACCACTGATTGTCTCTAGGAGGGTCCAAGCACTGGTATATATTGAAAGTGTCTGGTGTTTCCAACAGGAACCATGACTGGGAGCTCCTGCTCCTTGTGTCATCTCAGGCCTGACCCCAAGAGGCAGTTCAGACTCAATCCCAATCACATAAGTTGCTGTTGGCAAAGAAAGGTCTACCTGTGTGGCAATGATTCCACAACATCAATGTGTGTGAACATACACACACGTATGTGCACCCTAGGTGCATACTTCCTGGAACCCCATGAACAAATTTACAAGTAGTCCCCAGAGGTCAAGAAGGTAACATGATGATCTTACCCAAAGTGCTCCCAGTGAGTCTCCCCATCACCTCCCCT